ATATAAGTATATACTAAAAAAAATTTTATAGGAAAAGTTTATTGTTGTTTCTATTTGTTTTTCTATTTCGTAGCAAAATATTATTAAAATTTGCCAATTATGATATTTATTTTATAATGCAGATTTAAGTGATTTTAGTTTGGTAATTTTGTAGAGAAAGATTAACATACATTAAATGCATTAGATACATACATTAGAAAATTAAGTAAATATAATTAAAATTAAAAGCAGAATAACTAATAAAAATACATCTATAGAAAAATGATAAATGTTAGGAGACCAATACAGTACATATAACTTCTTTAAAAATAAAAATTTTTATTATTTTTTTTCATTAAAATAGAAAGATTTTTATATTTTTTTGCATTAATAATGAAATATAACATCGGGCTCTATCTTCATAGGTTAGCGACATATGTAAGAAAATATCTTTAATAAAATATTTATATCTTTATATTTTTATATCTATACATTTATATCTTTATCATTTTTAACAACGCACAAACGCTACTATTCGAATAAATGTATTGATAATTTTAATATTTTAAGTTAATTAAATTAATTAATTAATTAAAATAATTAAATTTTAAAATATATTTAAAAAAGTATGTAAAAGAGATCAGTTTTTTTATTTGTTTCATATATTAAAATACAACATATATTTCATCTTTCGATCAATTTATTGCAGATGCACTAATGAAATGAAATGAAATGGATTTGTTTAAAAATACAAAGAATAATGATACTTGGAGAATTATCTCAAAGTATATGATGGTCAATACAAAGTGTAGTCTCGTGTGCATGCACGCGAGAATAGTAACTATGTTTGCCATGATGTATTGATCCTCGGTATTATCTATAGTGATATTTTCTTTTCTCTCTTTTTGTGTCTTTGGCTTTTCGTACGAATACATTTTCGTTTGTTTTGTGCGCGTTACTTACACTCTTTCTCCAACGTTTCCTCATGCATACGTCATTATAAATGAAAGAGATAATACTTGCAGACACATATCATATATTAAATCAATCGAGAAGGAAACAATGTTGCGAGATATATGACAGTTGACGAGCCATTAGGAAAAATAAGACTATTTCTCATTGATTTTGGTTAATTTAAAATATTTGATAAATTATCTGGAAATAAAAGACATGTATATTTTTGTATGTGTTTTAATATAAAGTAATATAAAAATTGTAACATATTTTTTTTTAATTAACTCGATGTATCCTTTAAATAAATCAAATATTGAAATAATAAAATTTTTATAAAAAAATAATCCAAAAACAAATACAAATATATGCTACATTAAAAGTTTTTTTATCATAATATTTTTCAAAAACATCGTATTCTTCATAAATTTTATCTTTCTTTTACCTAACAAAATTTTTAAATATCACTATGCTCAAATTCTCAATTGTATATCGAAAGATACAGGAAAACAAGCAATTGAATTTATTTTCTTTTTGATTTTTAAATTGCATTCTAATTTTATATTTAGAAGAATTAATCTTTATATTTGGACTTTTTTATGAACATTTTTCATTTATCTATTTGTTAAATCATTTATTTTTTATATTAAATTCGTAAATATAGATATTCATATAGATATCTTAAATTCATAAATAATTTATGTATTTTTTATGATATTATTTCTCTTGCATTCAGTTTTCAGTACTTTTAGTTATTATTTGAAATACTATTTTATTTATCTCAACTTTTTCATTATTAGCGGCAAATAATAATGAAAAAATGGATCGATGCACATTGCGTTCATATTTTATAAAAAAAAAAAAACCTTACGAATAAAAGTGAAATGTTTGCTGTTGGTTGACTATTTCTTTCGATATTTTCAATAAGAAATGAAGAATTTGCGCGAATACATCCGATTTGCGAAAACGATCGACTAAATTTTTTTCTCATCATACGCTCGTATGTAATTCTGGGAGATAGCCGAGCAGACTAATTTCCAGTTATCGATTCCACGCATACGTGGAAATATATGCTCGTATCGTATTTATGTAGGGCGGACTCTTTCGTATTCCTTATACTTGAACGAAAACGCCGCTATATGACATTAATGTTGATGTGATAGCAAATCTGGCTCTTCATGTTTTCATAATGCGAATTCGTGTTCATCGCGCGAATTTGCTTCTGAGAATAAGAGTAATAAAAAGTTGTTTCGCTGGGAGATTTCGGCTCATTTTCTAGGTCGAAGAGTTAAATGAAGTTAAATGAACATAACGGTAAATTTCACGTGTCACAGTTCACGTGTATACAGTTTCATTATCGCAACAACGTTATTAATCTATATTTGTGGTCGCATTTGGTTGGTCGCTTCCGATCGTATACGAACGACTATTTATCGGCTACGGGTTTGCGAACGATTGCGAGGGGTTTCCCTGGTTGTATGCACCTGGAGTCGTTCACACCGATTTATCTCGCGCCAAGAATAGCCTGATGCTTCTTTTCCACATGGCTAGCTTTATATTAATATAACGCAAGTGTCAATTATGTGTATATGTGTGTATGCATGAGCATGTGGATGCGTGTAAAAATTTATATACTTATACATCAACGCCATGTTATACTATTATCATAAATATATAACTAAAAAATATGAAATATCTGAAAACACTTTATAATATCAATTATTGGATTCCGATAAAAAAATTTCTCACATATAATTAGTTGTAACATGTAACAGTTGTACATAATTAATATATAAAAACAGTTTTGGGTGTGTGTGTGTGTGTGTGTGTGTGTGTGTGTGTGTGTGTGTGTGTGTGTGTGTGTGTGTGTGTGTGTGTGTGTAATATGTTCGTGTATATATATATATACATAAAATTATATATGGAAAATTTTTTATTGGAATATTATTTTTTAGATAATATTGCGACTGCACATAGAAAGGAAAATCACCAATACATGTCATACTATTCGTTTTTGAACTATATTTCTTAAACAAAAGCTAAACATATAGAAACACAAAAATACAAACTCTTCTATCAGAATAGAAAGTCTTCTATCAGATGATGTAGTAGTTAGTTTTTATGATATTTTTTCATATTTTGCAATAATTAACTTATATAAATTAACTTATATATAAATTAATAAAAAGCGACATTTGAAAAATTGAGTCCCAAAACTGACATAGTAGGCAGTGTTGCCAGAATTTAGATGTAGCCTTATAATGAAGGAATTAATAATAAAGTAAATTAATAAATTATGTTTATTTTTTTGCTATTTTGTTTCAAAACTTCAAATAAACAATGTAATAATGAAGATCACAGAGAGAATAAAGTTAACATTTCTTATAGTACCTGTCTTATCGATAATTAGGCTCTGCGCACAATGGAGGAACAGGAACAAGAATTAGGAGACAGGAAAATAAATGTAAAATTTTGGAAATAAAAATTAGGAATAGAGATTAATCGTGACGCAAAGTAGAGAAAGTAAATATAAGATATAGCCATACTTTATACTTACTTGTGTCTATTTTGCATTACTTCTAATTTTTATTTCCAAAAATTTATTCCTGTTCCTTTATTGTGTGTAGGCCTCAGGTATCAGTTTATATCACATTTCTGATTTTATATTTAAACTGTATTATATGAAAAGAATAAGAAACAGAAAAATAAAATAAAAATATAAATAAAATTTTCAGAAAGCTACGAACATGTTAAACCTAATATTATCAATAATATACTCATTATTATTTAAACTACAATTTGTAAAAGAAAATTATAAAAATTTTATTTTTGCATTTGAAAAATCTGTTTTTTAGCTGATTTTATATAGAAATAAGCTACACAAATATATTTATTTTTTATTTCTTTAATCATCTAACAGAGATCATATTTTTATCAGTATTAATAAAGTACAATCTTTAATTTTTGAGAAATAAAAGGATATCTCTTTAGGAGACTTCCTTTTATGTCACTATCGGCAATTTTCCTGTAATAAAATGTAATTGAAGATCTATTTAATGAATATTTTAAACATCAAGATAACGCTAATGATATGAACAAGATAATTCTATTGGTGTAATTTTCAATTAAACAATTTGTTTTCTTATATAATCGATTGAAAACCTATATGCCTTATATAATCGATTGAAAACCTATATGCGACGCACAAATTTGTGGATTGTCTCCTTTTTGGAAGAAACGAAGATTCCCGATATGCTCGATTCCTGATGCGTGTTGTACACACGATACACCTATAATTGCACGTGAGGCAGCTTTGTCGTAACGCTTCGTAGATCGATAGCCGGGAAATGGCCGGAAGCCAAGTCGACGACGTCGTTTCGAGTTTTGCCGTTGTCACAATGTGCGAGAGCTAACCCCTTTTGCCATGAGTGTCCCACTTTAACTCCCGACACACAATTCTCCACCGCGCCTCTCTTAGGATTACTTTAAAGTTCTTCCTGTTTTTTTCATATCATTGAAATGCATCGAAATGCTCGGTTCAGCTATGCCAAAATGGATTTCATTTGAATGCGCATACATTTCTGTGTGTGTATGTGTGTGTGTGTGTGTGTGTGTGTGTGTGTGTGTGTGCGCGCGCGCGCGCGCGCGCGCGCTACGTTCAAATGAACATATATGAATATGTATGAAATATAAAAATGGATATATATATTTTTTTCTACAATTGAAATTAAATTGTTCACAGA